TTACAAAGCGAGTTCTTCAGCGATCACTGAACATGCTCAGTGTATTGATCKYTGGAACTGAAAATAYAGAAACTAAAATACATCGAAAGGAAAAAGGGATTATCATCAAATCACTGAGAGAGAGGATCAACAGAAGGGCATGAAGTTCACGTAACAAGTGGGTGATCCATATTATTTCTGCTGCAGTGTTCGCCATGGCTCGGTATTCAGATTCACAACTAGAGCGAGAGATGGTAGGTTGCTTCTTTGTACTCCATGAAACAAGGTTGCCGCCTAAGAATATGGAATAGCCATATGTAAAACGCCGCATCTCAAGACATCGAACCCAGTCCATATCAGAGTAACCAAGAATAGTGGTGGATTTCTGGCGAGAAAAAGTGAGACCAAAGGACATAGTGCCCTTAACGTATCGAAGAATCCGTTTGACACTCTGAAAATGGTAGAGAGTTGGAGCTTGGAGAAACTGACTAACCTGATTTACCGCATATGAAATATCAGGGCGTGTAATGGTTAAATACTAGAGTGCACCCACAAGCGACTGATAGTGAGTAGGATCAGCGTAAGGATTACCACTAGTGACAAAGGTAGCATTGGCGGCAAGGGGGTGGTAACCAGTTTGGCATTAAGCATATTCGTCCGTTTTAAAATATCGTAAGCATACTTGGATTGACTAAGGAACAAGCCACTGTCAGTATAGGTTACTTCAAGCCCAAGAAAGAAATTAAGACGACCAATATCATTGATGGCAAACTCGTTGTGCAATTTGGTGATGAAGGATTGGATGACCTGATCTTGATCGCTTGTAAGAATTAAGTCATCGACATAGACTAGCAAATACAGGATGCAGGAATCATGTTTGAACACAAAAAGAGATGTGTCAGCCTGACTGCACACAAACCCACTATCAATAAGAAAGGTGCTTAGCCGATGGAACCAAGCCCGTGGGGCTTGTTTGAGGCTGTAGAAGGCTTTGTTTAGGCGACACACATGATCAGGAAGATTAACGTCCTGAAAGCCCGGTGGCTGCTCCATGTACACTAGTTCACTCAAATTGCCATTGAGGAAGGCGTTATTAACATCAAGTTGGTGAAGATTCCATCGGTTGGCAACAGCTAGGGACAACACAATGCGGACCGTGGACGCCTTAACAACCAGACTAAAGGTTTGGGAATAATCCAAGCTCGGAATTTGGCTGAAACCTTGAGCAATAAGCTGGGCTTTGTGGCGATCAATCGAGCCATCAACAAGATATTTGGTCCGGAAT